CCTTTGACATCAAAAGACTTAACAGAGGAGAGCCATGGCTTCTCCCGCCCCAGCCGCTATCACTCAAGTGCCGGGAGGTAGCCGCACAGGCACCCCAAAACCCCCATAAGTCCGTCCATCCATCCGTCCCCATCCCCCACTCCCCACCCCACCCCACCCACAGTCAGACCTCCTGACTGTGCCAGTCTTTGGACCCACTCTGCAGAGGCAGAGGCAAGGGTATATTTCTGAGTTCCCAACTTTGAACATCTTTAAAGAAAGGGGGTGGGAAACCTGTAATAGAACATTGTGGAGTTCAACCATTCAGAAGGTTGGGGAACTCAATCTGGGCCTTGCAGCCCAAGGTCAGTCAGCATCATGGGGTTCAGCCATTAGCTAACTGAGACCAGGGGCCTTGTATCCTCACTCTGTCTGAGCCATTAAATTGTATTGTACACTATACTGAAATTTTGTTCACTGCAGACATGTTCTGGACTGCTTCTTGATTTCAATTTAATTCAAATGATTTAAGGGTGATAGACTAGTGACTACCACAGGTGGTCAGTGTCCAAGTTGTGCTTGATCTTAATGTGTTGCTGATTGTATCAGTTGGGGTAAAGCATTGCAGTTGATTTGATGAGCTGTTTTCTCTGATGTTATGAAGATGAGAATGTCTGTGGGTTGTTAGAGACACAGAAGCTAGAGCGCAACTGTATCAGGAAGATTTGGGTGATAATCCAGAGATTAAACCAAAGACAGTCCACCAACAAAAATAAAAATGAGAAAACACTTAAGCAAGACACAAGGACAGACTTCCAGTTCACCAATGGCAAACAGTAGGGCAAATGAGGATGAAAAGGCCGCTAGTGAACCACCATGACACCCTAAACTCAAAGCACAGGAAGTAACAAAGCAGATCAATCAGGCTCTAGAAAAATTCAAAACAGAAATAATTTCCCAGATAACCATAGAGATAGTGAGCAAAGTGGAATTCATGATTCGAGACTCTAGAACAGAAACTGACAAAAAAAAATACATGAGTTCAGGACCACGATAGAAGCCATGAAGGCCCAGCATAAGAAAGAAATGGAAAAAATAAATGCCCAACATAGGAAAGAAATGGAATCCATAAAACAGATTCAAACAAACAGATATCCAGATTAAACACTCCATAGAAAGTGTACGCAACAGAATAAAAGAATGCGAAGATAGACTCTCAGATATAGAAGATAAGATTGCAGTCAGTGACCATGAAAAGAGAGGTCTCTTAAAAACAGTAAGGGATCATGAGAAATCGATCCAACAACTCCTAGATGATGCAAAGAAGAATAAACATAAGACTGATAGGAATCCATGAAGTAGCAGGAGAAGATACAAATGACTTTAAAAAGCTGTTCACAGAATTAATGACAGAAAACTTCCCAAACAGAGGGGAAGAATTTGACATTCAGATAACTGAGGCATATAGGACCCCAATTAGCTACAATAAAAAAAAATCTACACCTAGACATATAATCATCAAGATTACAGAAACCCAACAGAAGAACAAAATACTACAAGCAGTAAGAGAAAAGAAACAAATCACATACAAAGGAAAGCCTATCAGAATCACAGCAGACTTTTCAACACAAACCCTTGGGGCAAGGAGAGCCTGGAATGAGATATTTCAAGTACTAAAAGAGAACAACCTCCAACCTAGACTGATGAATCCTGCAAAACTCTCTTTCAAAATGGATGGGGAAATAAGACACGTCCATGACAAAGATCACCTGGGAAACTACATGAATATCAAACCAGCACTACAAGAAATTCTAAACAAGATCCTAGAAAAAGTCAATGAAGGCAACACCACCATGAGGCCCAACAGAACAAATCAAACAGGCAAGGCAAAAAATTAAAAGGAGAAGGTGAAAAAGTAAAAACAGTCAACAAAAGGCCAATAACATGTCAATGATAAGTCAGTACATATGTGTTATAACCAGCAATGTCAATGGCCTCAACTCACCAATCAAGAGAAATAGACTGGCAA